CATGTGAAGTTGTAGAGTCAAGTAACAATTATTACTAAATTTAAGACATATCGATTAAAGATTTTGATCTGTTAAAAATTTTAGGATCTGGTTCTTCTGGAAAAGTGTGGAAGGCTTTAAATAGAACAAATAAATAATTGGTTGCAATAAAAGTAATGTCAAAACTATTGTAAATTGTGCTTTTATATTAGGATCTTAAAGTAGGGAATAGTATCTCTTGTTATAAATGAAAAAAATATACTATCTCAAATAAAAAATCCATTCATAGTGAATTTGAATGCAGCATTTTAAGACAATTATAATCTATACTTATGTCTAGATTTAATGTCAGGAGGTGACCTTAGATATCACCTTAATAAGAAAAAGTAATTTTCAGAAAGTTAAACAAGTATAACAATTATTCTATATAGAATTTTTTATTGCTTGTATTTTCATTTCTTTAGATTATCTTCACTAATAAGGGATAATTCATAGAGATTTAAAACCTGAAAACCTTGTTTTTGACAAATAAGGATATATTCGATTGACTGATTTTGGTATGGCTGGAATATGGAGACCAAATTCATTAGACTATGTTTGTGGAAGTATAGGTTACATAGCTCCAGAAATGATTCTTTAAAAACAACATGGAATAGGGGTTGACTATTTTGCTTTAGGAATAATTGCTTATGAATGCATGTTAGGAAAAAGACCTTATGAAGCAAATGATTTAAAATAAATGAAAGATTTGTTACTATCTTAATAAATTTAATTAAAGAGATCAGAATTACCTATAGAATGGTCCATAGAAGCAGGTGACTTTGTAAATAGAGTAATATTGTCTTCATTAACCTAGTTAATTAAATTAAATGCTGAAGATAGATTAGGAACAAATGATCCTTAAGAGGTAATGAATCATCCATGGTTTAAAAATTTTGATTGGAACAAGCTCATATCTAAACAAATGAATCCTCCTTATGTTCCTAAAAAATCTATTGGATACAGTAATTATCAAAAGTGTAAATAAAGTAAATAAAAATTAATAAATATTGATATTTTAAATTCAAACCAATAAAGTAATAAATATTAATATAAATAAGAATTTGCAGGGTATCATTTTAATCCAAAGAAAAATAATTACATTTAATCCAAATGATTCTACTTTTACTTTAGAATTTTAAATTAATATTGAAATTTATAATTAAATAATGATCATTAATTACGGCTTTATGGTATTGGATAGGTATAAAAATACAATAAATTTCGAAATACTCCAGAAAATGTATATGTTTGTTTAACAAATGCTTTTTTCCTAATATAAAACTAATCTTCTGATTTTGTTTATTTAGCTGTTTTTCCCTACAATAATATATTGTTATAATTCTACTATTGAAATATAATAGCAATTGAGACCATTTACAGGGATAAGGAATAAAAAGCATACAAGCACTATAACAGTAACTAAAATAGTTATAAATGGATTCTCATAATATCTATAATCTTTATAAGTATATTCAATGTTCATCAGTACAGCTGAATAAATTAATGGAAGAATGAACATAATTATTAAAATTATAACATTTAAATAAGTTTAATGATTCCAACAACCACAAAGAAAATATAAACCATAAATTACTATAAGAGGAATGCTAGCATATTTAAACATTAATATCCACAGTTCATAAATATCTAAATATTAGTAAGATACTTTTTATTATAAATATAATTTTTACAATTTATTAAGCATTAGCATAAGGTAAGTATAACAACGATTAAGGATGATTGTAAAAATAATAAAAAGGCTCTCCAATTTCTAATTCCTATACAAGTACCAACCCAAAAGCAATGATGATCAAAACCATCAACACAATGGTTGCAATGTTTGCCTATTTATTTTTTATAATTTACAATGGGAAGCCTTTGAGGGTCTCATAATTTTACAAGTTGAACAATATCTGGATGTGTAAATATTAGGTAATTCAGGATTCTATTCAGATTAATTTTATTATTCTGTAATTTATACAATTTAATGTGGTTCATTTCTCTTAATTTATTATTCAGAACTATTATATATTTATTGAGATATTTATTCTGGTTGTGTTTATTATTATTATTATTTTGGATCTGGTAAATCTCCTCTAAGCAATACACCAGGTTCTAATAATATAATAATTTATTAAATAAAACCTGTCATTGTAACATTCAAAAGGGTTATAATAGGAAGAATACAGCATATAGCAATTATAATTGCAAGAGCATCATATTAATAGTCTAGTGCTGCAGGAAATATAAAAATTAAGTACAAAACAATAAGAGCTATTATTAAAGTTAGAGTTCCTATAATATTAAAAAAATCTTTCTAAATATTCTATATATATTAATTCAACCTTTGCTCCAAAAATTATAGTCCCTTTGCATCTAGTAAATGCCTCGAATGATTTTTTAGATTCCATAGTATCAATATCTTCAAAAAATTGTTATATATTATTCATAAAATATTAAAATTTAATTTATGAGAAAGCTTAAATTCCATGAGAAAAAACTATTAAAGAGAGTAGATTTGTATAATTGGAAGAAAGAAAAAGATCATAGAGAAGCTGAAATAATCAAAAGATATAATTTGTCTAATAGAGAAGATTATGATAAATATAACAGGATGTGTGGTCATATTACTTCCATGATTTCTAAAATTAAATTATTGTCATCTTAAGATCCATTTAGGGTAAAACTAACTGAGTAATTATTGGAGAAATTATACAATATGGGCATTATAACAACAAAGGATAATATATTAAATTGTGAGAAATTAGCAGTATCAGCTTTTTGCAGAAGAAGATTACCTATAGTTTTATGCAAACTAAAATTTGCTTAGACACCAAAAGAAGCATGTACTTACATAGAATAAGGTCATATTAGGATTGGAACTAGAATAATCACAGATCCTGCTACTTTAGTGACTAGATCCTAAGAAGATCATATAACATGGTCTGATACATCAAAAATAAAATAAACTATATAATAATATAATAATGAAAGAGATGATTACATAGGTTGAATTAATTATTTAATAATAATATTGTTATATAAATAAATTGAGATATATGTATATCATTGTTAGAATATAATGATAAACTATAATTTTAATCATTTTTCTTTTGTTGATAATCTTTATTAAATAGCATAACTAAATACAGTTGATAATCCAACACCAGCACTTTTTAACAAATTAAAAGTAATTACAACACCATATAATTTAAATGGATTATTTCTTTTATCATATGTAAGTTATCTTTAATTATTTTCTAATTCTTCAACAATCAATTCAATATATTCTTTTACAGTATCAACATCAAAACCAACTTAATCTTTTATGATATTTACAAATATTTTATGAACATCATTAATTGGTTAGATATTATTTTGAAAATATTATTCTCTCATCCTTAAAATATCACAATAAATTGATTTTACATCATCTAATAATGTTTCAAAGCTATCAAAATATTCATTTAGTGATGCTCCTAAATAAAGATAATATAAAGTAAATCCAATTAAGATCATGGCCATTTCACCAAGCAATATTAATTAAAACATATCAATATGTATTAAATCTAAGATCAAGCCCAAAGAGATAAATATAAAAACTATATTGGCTATAAAGATTAATGAGTAAAAACCTTGAACTCTTAGATTATAAGTTTATCCATAATCAAAACATAACGATCTAATAATAGACCATGCTTGTAAAGTTTAAGGATTATTAAAATTTATAGTAGGTATAAGTTTTTTGGCTGTTGGATATGTTACCTTTTTTGCCGATAGCATATAGAGACATTGGTCAAGTAAAAAGAACTTTCTTCTAAAATCATAGATTCCAATTGCTAAGAAAATAACAGAACCAAAAAATGCCTGCATTGAAGTTAAAAAGTTAATTATTAATCTTATTATATCGAGCCAATCTGGTATATTTTCCATAAAATGCTATAATCTGATAAATGTGGGAGAGATACCATAAAATAAACCCAATGCAAACATATATTTAAAAAATGAAGAAGTAGGATTTGTCTTTTAAAAGTAATTGACTAAGTAACCAAAGACATGAAATCCATTATAATATACTTATTCAATAATAGGGTCAGTTTATTTCATCTACTGCTTCATTGCCCATTCAACATAAAAACATATATTTGTAGTTTTAATAGCATCAGCTGTTTTTTTATTTGGATCCAATAAAAAATCAAATTTATATAAAGAGTATTCTTATTCATGTCTTCTTAAAGCTCTATATTACTCTAAAAATAACACTTTAGATGATTATTCAAACCAATCTTAAAACATTAGATCAAAATTAAACATTTCATCAGGGAGTTCTTCAGATTTATATAATTTTATTCTAGCAGTACTTAACGTAGCATATTTAGCTGCAATAACAACTGAACGAGTTGAAATAGCAAACCACATAAAAATAATTTCTGTCAATGTTATCACACTTTAGTCTTAGATAAAATACATTAAGCCACCTATTGCTGATCCCATCCATAAAAGAGTTTACATATAAAATGCTGAAGAGTGTTTACAAAATCTCATGTTTTTTAATAAAATTATTCCAGGATATTTAAATAAGACTAAAACAATCAAAGGTCCTAATAATATAAAAAAAAGCATATGATAAAATAGAAATTCGAAGAATACATCCCAATGCCATTCAGCTTTGTATCTTTGCAGTTCCTCATCATTAACCTCGTCAAATGTAATTTATTTTGATAATTGTTTTTATGGGTTGTACTCTTTTAAAGGAGCAGCATCTAATTAGTAGCTAGGCAAGGATTTAGCAGGTGTATTAACTGTAAGTAATTATCTTATTTATTAGACTTTTCTAACAGATTTAAGTAGTTTTCCATCATCTGATGTATTTTAAGCAGGAGTGTCAGCTTCAATTTACTTGGCTGATTAACTTGTACGACTTTACATGTTATAAAATATTATAAATAATGATCAAAATTAAGGAGTAAATTATAATGTCATTTTGAAAGACAAGCTACGTCTACATTTTGCATTCTTTATTACACAGCAAATCCTACTACAGTAAACACAGCAACAACTACACTTTATAAAAAGTTTAAGGTTATTCGAATGCCATAAATTTTAAAAGGATTATGTTTTTCATCATAATTCAATTGTCTTATGGCATCATCAATCTCTTCTATTATAAGATTAATGTATTAAGTAATAGTTTCTAGTGATTTAGTCTGACTCTTCAATAAAAATACAAATTTTTTATGTATTGCATTTGTTATATCCAAATTTAAAATAAAATATTGTTCCTTTTTTCTAAGAATATCAACATACATATTCCTAACATCTTCCAATAAAATATCAAATGTTTCATAATATTCATTTAATTAAGCACCATGCCACAAATAATAACCAATAAATCCAGTTAAAATCACCAACATTTCTGATAATAATGTAGTTTAAAAAAAATCTATATGAATGAAATCTAACAATACACCTATTCCAAACAAAAATAAAAATATCCATCCTATAAAAATCAATGAATAAAATCCTTAAATTCTGAAATCATAAGTTCTTCCATAATCGAAAGCCATCCCTCTTAACATTGACCAAGCTTATAGAGTAATAGGATTATTAAAGTTGATTGATGGTAGTAACTTTTTGCCAGAAGAATAATTTTATTCCTTAATACTCAGCATATAGCAGCATTAATCTAAAATATAAAACTTTCTTTATAAATCATATAGACCGATCTACAAAAATACAAAAGATCCAAAGAATGCTTAGAAGGTTGTTAAAACATTTATTATTATTCTTAAAATATCAATAGCTCCAACATCGATCTCATAAAAATATTATACTCTTAATAAACATGGTGTTAATGATAATATTAAAGATTAAACCACTACATATTTCGAAAATCCATTAGGAGAGTGTGTTTTTTAAAAGGAATTGACTAAATACCCAAAAATAAAGAAACAATTGAAGGTATTGTCTATAATTGGTGCTATCTAAGATTCATCTTACTATTCCAACCATTCTCTATAAAATCCAACATCAACTTATAATAATTATTTTACTGTCTTATTATGAGGTTAACATAAGAAATCGATTTTATAAAAATCAGGATCTAATTCTCTTCTTTTTAAGAATCTTAATTGTTCTAGAAATAAAACTTTAGGAGTTTAAAGTCTCCAATCCCACATCATTAAATCAAATGTAAAAATTTCTTCACTTAAAACTTCCTATTTGTATAATTTAATTCTTTCTTCACTTAGAGTAGCATATTTAGCAGCAATAACAACAGCTCTAATTAATAAAGCAAATTAAGTGAACACTACTTCAGTTAAAGTAATTATATTTTTATCATCAAATAAATACCAATAGCCTCCTGCCAAAGATCCTAACCATAAAAGTAATTAAAAGTAAAATTATGCATGATGTTTTAAAAATCTCATATTTATCATCAGAGGCATACCTGGCCATTTCCAAAAAAATATCACCATGAAGGGTCCAAAAAGATTATAAAACATCTACAATATAAATATAACATATTACAATATGATAAAATAAGAATTCAAAGAAGAATTTCCAATGCCATTCAGTTTAATATCTACCCATTTCCTCAGATGCCACCTTCAAGAATGTTGCTGAACGTCTTAAAGAATCCCTATAAAAATGTTCTCTTAATGGAAGTTCAGCTTCATCTATATCTTTTGCTGGAGTATCTACCCTTGTCTCAGATTGTATTAAATTAAAGCTCTTCAACTATAGAACTTTCGTATACGCTTATCTATGTTTCTCATTCCTTTCTGTTGAATTTATAATAGCATTATCCCCAGCGCTAGTTTTAACTTAAGTAATAAATATGTTATTCATCAAAATAAGAATTTCTTAAAAATTATTTTAAATACAAGAAAATTGGTATTCCATTTAAACTTAAAATTATATACTCAATCAAATTTAAGAAAACCAAAAATAGAAATTTCATCAGTAATTAAAGGGTTATACATATAATTTAAAAAATGTTAAAAAAAGTTCTAGAGTTCAACTTTTTTTGTAATCAAAAAATTTGTATAAATATAATATTATTTTTATATAATTTGGATCAAAATTATCATATTTTATCTCTTATAAAGTATTATATAAAGGAGAAAATTTTATTATTTGAATAATATAGAATGGTAATCTACTATAAATTTTCATCTAAAGAACAATTTGAAATTGGAGAATGTTTAATTAAAAGAATTAATTATTATTTATTGGAAACATAAATTTATTATGCTTTTTATATTATATTACTTATTATATTTCATTATATATCTGTACCATACAATAATCTATGAGCTCTTTGAATAATTGTATCCTTATATTGTTATGTAATTTAATACCTTCTTTGCTTCATATGGATATTCTTTACTGGGGATTTCAAGAATTGTAGGCAAGATGGAATCATATTGATTAATAATATGTCTTAGATAATTTTCAGCAACGTATTATGTAACAAGGATGACTGCTATATTAGGATGTTTCAAGAAATTCTAAAAAGTAGTCTCAATCAATTTTGGGTCGGTTTCGAGAAATAATGAATTTACATACTTGAATCTACAACCAAAAAATTAGTTTCTCCTTTAATATTCTTTTCTCCGATGCCTGTTAATAAAAATCCTGTAACAGTGTCCTTAATTTTAAATATTTTTTTAATACTTCATCACCAATAATTGATACAAGAGATGTACCTTCAGATTTCTTAAAAGTTTTCTTTGACATTAAATTTAATATTTATTTAATATGTAAAAGTTTAATTATTTATATTATTAAATGATCTTCATAAATCTAATTAAGATTTAGAAGGCTTTTTGGATCCAATATGAATAAAAGAGGACCTTTTAGATTTATTCTTTTGATTTGTATATTAATTAGCAAGTTCTATTTGATCATCAATAGCTTAAAATTCATCATTTTATGAAATTTAATCTAATTCTTTATTAAACTTTTGGGCAGCAAATTTGTTTAATGGATCAGAATTAAATAATTTATATTCATTAGAGTTAGTATGGGTATAAGTATTATCTTAAGGAGTTTAGTCCTATTTAGGTTCATATTATCCAATTTTTGGTTTTAATCCATAATCGCTATCTTAATCAAATTTCCATATTTCTAGATAATCATTAGATGGTTCAATGGACTTTTAACATTCCCTTATAATTTTACTTTAGTTTAAGTATCCATTATTATTAATATCACTATTTTAATTGTTTTATTGTTTTTCCTAAATTATAAAATGTGTTTCATTATTATCTAAATTATGAATTTTTTCAATATCATCTAAAGCCAATTTCACAGGTTTTTAATTTATAATAATTTCTGTAATTTATTGATTTGCATATTATTCAGCCATTTTTTCAAGTTAAGCCATTTGATCTTCTTCATCATCATTTTAATCTTTAAAAATATTGTAATCTGCACTTTATATATTTTCTAATATTTTTTAAACATTAGAATTATCCTTTTTATTAATTCTTGTATTATTTGTATTATTATTTCCACCTTTATTTGAAGATCCACCTTCATTATTTCCTCCATCATTATTTCCATTTTTATTATTAATAGTAATCTCTTATTTAAAATGTCTACCCTCTTATTTTCTTTTATTAATAATATCTAAAATAGTAGCTTTTTCATCATTCAATTCTTTGACTTCTGTAGATGTAAGTTCAAAGAATGATTTCACATTAGCATCAAAACCTAATCCAACTCTTCCTACTTCTCCATCATATCTATTTTTCTTAATCTCAAATACTCTATATCTAGGTCTATTTTAAATAATAAAAACATTATCAGCTTCTTGAGTTGCTTTTGCTGAACCAAATATAGATGCAATAGTTAAATCTTCATTTTCATCAACTTTTCTAGGATGAATAACCAAAGTTAAATGGATATCATTATTACTAGTTAATCTTCTAAATTTTTCAATTATTTCATCTTGAAAATCAAATTTTCTATTTCCTCCCACTTAAGTTCCCATCATAAATTATAAATTATCTAAACAAACATGAGTAACATTATATTCATATATTGCATATTCAATTGTATCAATAATCTAGTCTAAATCAGTTGACCCATAAAAATTCATATAATACTAATTAATAAATAGAATTTATTACTATAGGTATTTCATTCTCAAATTTTTATATTGCTATATCAACTAAATCTTTTTATTTAATTAAATCTGTCTTATATGCTTATAATAATTAATGTTCTGCCAATCTATCAGTTTTAATTTCAAAACTTCCCCAAAGTGTTGTTATTCCTTCTTTACAGAAATCTAAAGATAATTAACTCAAAAATGTTGTTTTACCACTACCAGTGGGTCCTGTTAAAATAGTGAATTCTAATTTCATAATAAATAAATAATTTACCTCCAGTTCTCAATCCTTTTGTTGTATTATTATAGGTTGTGAATGTTTAAGATTAAGTTCCCTTAGATAATTCAAAATTTAGAATTCTATTCTTTGTTAATTATTTAAAATCAGTAAATTAAGTGATATTCTTTTTTAATAAACATTTTGATTGATCTATATAAGTCATTACTTTATCTGCATAAAATCTTAAACAATCATTTGCATCCTTAGGATAATCATGAGGATTAAGTAAAGATGGTTAGACTACTCTTGTTCTTGCATTACCAAGTTTACGAGCAATTTTTTAAGAATTAATTCTACCAGGATTATCATCATCTACCCATATAATAATATCATTTAATTTCTCAAATTAATCCAACCTTATTTGATAATCATCATAAATACCATTCAATAAGATAAGCTGGAATATGATTAATACCATATGGTAATGATATAGCAGGAATATTAGTCATTTAATATGCTGCCATAGCATCAAATTCTCCTTCTGTAAGTATTACTTGAGTAGAATCTTGTTTAAGCAAATGCATTCCAAATATTCCTTTTGCTGCATTCATAGGTTCTATTTTTTGAATGTGTTTCAAATCTTTTCCTGCTGCTCTTATTTTGCAACTTACCAATTCATATTGAAAATTATCAAATTAATTATCTAATTGTGAACTAATATTTTATTTAGTTTCTTCACTCAAAACTTTCTCAGTTAACACATCTTCTTTTTTCTGTTTCAATGCTTTTTACATAATTTTATTCTTCTCATGCTAATTTCTATATCTAAACATAGGGAAATATATAAGTGGAGCTTATACATAAGTGCCTTATTATGGATCATAGATTTCAGTTATATCAATGCCAATCAAATATAATTTCAAGACATCATCCTTAATTCCTCTTTAATTCTGACTAGTGAATAAAAGGCAAATTGTACATTTTCCCAATCATCACCTGTCAAATAGTCATATACTATTTTAGGTTCTTATAATTTTAATCTCTCGTAGTATTAGTGATATTCAAATATATTCAATTTCTAAATGGGTTATTATTAAGTCTATGGATTTTACTATTATGAAGTATTGAGAGTCCCATTCATAAAGTTCTTAAAATCAAACCAAGAACCTTTTGCCGAACAGCTAGCTCTAAAACAATTATATGATCCACTATAATGATTAATATAAGATTTACTTCTCTAAGTTTATTCCCATTACAAATTGGTTAGATGGATTTTCAATATTATGTTTTGGACAGAATGGACAATATCTTAATTGTACATACTTTCCTTATATTTTGTGTTCCATCTTCTTGTCTTCCAAGTATTAAATTATTGAATTTGATGAGACTTTAAAGTGTTTGGATGTATAAGTAGGGTGGATCTGAACTTGATTTAAAAAAATACCAAATTTTCATTTTTCTCTTTATAAAATTTATTGTAATTTTCATCAAAATGATAGACAATCTTTTGTTGAAGAGATTAGAACATTCTATTTTTGATTACAGATTAAGCAATTCTAGCTACACGCCTCATTAGATGATCGTAAATTAAATTTAATTTAATTTGTGTTCAATATTTTATTATAAAATAATTTATAATTATATTATACTATAATAAAATTTATTTGTTCATTATCATATCCATATCTAATTAATTATTAATAGATAACCAAAAGGATAAAATTTACATAAGTATTAAGTGAAATTTGTAAATATCAACTCAATTTCTTGTTGAAGAATTTACTTTAATGTCAGTTCATTTTTTTATATTAAAACGAGATTATGCATTAATTTATTAATTTAATTATATTTAGAAATATAATTTATTTACTTAATGTTTTAATAATTGTATTAGGATGCTCATATTAAAGTATATTTTTGATCTAAAAATTACACTGAAATCTAAATCATGATATTATTCATAAAAATGTTAGTCAAACTAAAAATAAAAGATGTAAATTATATATAGAAAATTAAATAATAATAAATGTTTCAGTGATTTTATTATCTCCATATATTTTAATCATATAAAATCAATCTTCTCATTCATTATGATTTTCATCATCAGAATGAATTTTGTGTTTATTGAAATATTATCTGATAAGTTATTTTGTTCTTTGAAAAGGCTTTTCTATTTTTGCTAATTATCTTCTCTTATGATTTCTTCTCAAACGAGGATTAAATGGATTGAATTTTTAATGATGGGATCTAATTGCATAAAAATAGTACCTGCATTAACTTGGAGTTCGAGTACCAATAATCTAACTCATTCTTTTAAACAATGGTTGTCCTTTTCTTTATGAATCTCCTGATCCTTTTACTCTAAGTAAGAATTAAACATATTAATGATGTTCCTCTTAAGTCCAATGACCCTATTTCACATTATTGCTATTGCTGATATCTTATTATTTAGAATGATTTATCGTTAGCTCAAGATATTCTTGGTTTAAAGTGCCTGAATTCTCTGATTTCATTTAATACTAGCAATTTGAATCTTAAAATAAATAATTCAAGAAGAACTTAATATCAATAAAGATGAATAAAATATCTTAAACTTTACATAATAAAAGGGTATCTTCAGGGTTCTGATCTCACTGAACACAATTAATATTTGGTAGATAAGATCATGTATTATATAAATAAGATACATTTTTAGAATGAAAAAAATTAAAAAAATACCCTTTCGATTTTGAATGTAAATCAAACAATTTATATTACTCTATATACTAATCATCTTCTATCCAAGAGCACATAAAATTTTCTATATAAATTTGTTCTTCATTTACTATCTCCAAAAATTCAAATATCAACATACTATTATTCCCAAAAATAATGAGAATACTCATATCATTAATAACAAAGTAATTATTAATTATGTAAAATATTTTAATCAAAAGTCCTTTTTTAAATGGTAACACTAAATTCGAAATTCGAGCAATTATTAATCAATCAATAAAAAAATATAGTCATAGACTAAAATATCTAAAAATAAATACTTTAATTAGATTAAATCAGAAGAAAAAATGAATAAGAAAAAAGAATAATAATAAATGAAATTCAACTTTTGATTTGAACTAATATTAAAAAATCATTAAATGTTAGAATATGAGTATTAAATAAAAAATTACTATTTGATTTTTTAAGAAGTATCAAAAAATTCATTTAACAATGATAATTCAAAAAAATAAAAACTTATTCTTACTTCTAATAAAAATTAATAAAGGAATAAATTCTAAGAATCTGAAGAATCATAATTATAATACTAAAATTCAAACTAAGTAGTCAATATCAACTAGATAAATTATGAGTTAAATTCTAGAAATAAATTTATCTAAACTAAAGAATTTACTTAAGTCTTTTTTAATTTAATCTTTTTGATAAATTCTTTTGTATTATAAAATGACTTTTCTGCTCCATTAATTTTGCAATAGAAAATCACCGGTATTCCTAATTAATTTAAAAATAATGAAAAGTAAGTAAACCATATAAATAATAAACTAAATCCAAATTATGTAATTTAGAAATCTAAAAAAAATAAATTATTACTAAATTATTACTAAATCTAATAAAGTTGTAGGCATATAATTATAAATTTTCATAACTAATACAAACAGATTCAATTAAAAAAATCAGGAGAAGTTATGTAAATTAATAAAATAACAAAAAATAAAAATTTAATTAGTATCCTTGAACATATTATTATTATTTAAAAAAAATACTCAGCAGACATAAAAATTGAAACAGTAATTCCAAATTTTTAAACCATATAGATGAGTTTAAGTGAAAAATTTTAAATAAAATCAATATCAAAAAATATTAAATCAGATTCTATTGGCATAGGACCAATAATATTAAAGGAAAATTTAGAATTTAATTCAGATAATCATAGTGAATCCATTTATTATTGAAATATACCAGACTATAATTTTTATTAAATAGATTAATTTAATTATTAATCATTACATTGTATATATTTATCTCTGCAATAAATTTCAACTAGAATGATTTAATAAAGATTGATTGCTATAAAGAGAATAATAAAAGTTTATATTAATTACCTTTATTTTGTTTTATCAAAAATTGTTTATAATTAACATTACTACAACATAGATTATTATGTAATGAAGATTCAATAAAACATGAATATATTATCTTTAATTTGTAAAGAGATACTATAAAATTATAGAGATTGAATAGATATTGAAGAAAATATTTATAGTAAATTATAATCTCTTATTTTAAATATTAATGCAATAGAAGCAAAATAGATTCTTGAATTAAATTTAAGTGTGTCTTTCATTGTAGGAATTTGGAAGAAATAAGATGTATGGAATTATAAATCTAGATTGTAAATACAATTTGAAATAAATGGATATTAAAATGTAACTAAATTCAATAATTGAAAATAAAATACTATTATCTATAATAAAATGAAATCTTTATTTGCTTTCAGATATAATAATATAAAAATCATTGGTTAAAGTACTCTTTTAATTTAGAATCATAATATCTTTAAGCATTGTTGTAAATTTATTGATATTATTTCTCCTCCTTAGTTCTCTGTTCATCATGAATGATTAATTTAATAATTTCACTTGCTCCTTAATTATCACCTGATTATGCTTTTTCTTAGCCTTGTCTTAATAGGTTTATTATATCCTAAAATTAATGTAGACTATTTACTTATTAATCTGGAAAAATGTGTTCCATGTTGATAAGAATCATAATTACAATTTATTAAGTGAGTTCAGCTTATATTTAAGTTTAGTTTTACTATTTCATCTACTGTTACACAACCCTGTAATAAAAATTTATAGTACTGCTACATATATTGATTCTAGAAATAAGGATTAATTTAATTAAGTTCTTATTCACCATGAGCAAATGTACATGTAACTCCATTTTTACATATTCCTGTTTATGGATTGAAATGCTTACATAATTATGCTATAAAATGATTAATCTTAATAATACTCTTATAATTTGTAATCATTGGATTAATTGGCTAGATCTTAACAGGAAGAGTTCCTTATTAATGTTATGGCATCATGAAATCAGAATTAGATTGAAATCCATTAGCATTTGCTCTAAGTTCTTATCTTCCATGAGCAAATTAACATCTTGCTCCTAATGCACAATTTCCATTTGTTACTAACATTTAAACTATGATTTACTGAAATGTCTGCAGAGCTATGTTTTGTACTTTTAGTTAGGAAATTGAACTTGATTAATTTACATTATTATATTATTATTTCAATATATAAAGCATAATATAAATATAACTAAAATGTATTTAACAAATCATGAAATATCAATCTATTTCTAGATGGAAAACAATAGTTTTAGGATTAAAAAATAAAATTAAAAAAATTAAATACAAAGTTTTGGGATCATGCTTCATCAGGAGATGGGTCATCAAAATTTTAGAATAGATAGAAATCTAATTAGGGTCTACGGACTATAATAATATAAAATAAAAAATTGAGCATTAAATTTGAAAAGGGATTTAAAAATTTTTTAAAGATTTTTTTATATAACAAATGTCCCACAGAAAGTTTGAGGCACCTAGACATGGAAATCTCGGATTTACTCCAAGAAAGAGAACAAAGCATCACAGAGGAAGAATCCGAGCATTCCCAAAAGATAATGTCAAGGCTTCAGTCCATTTGACAGCATTTGCAGGATTCAAGGCTGGTATGACCCACATCTTGAGAACTGTTGAAAGACCAGGATCAAAATTGAATGGTAAGGAAGTTGTTGAGGCTGTCACCATCGTTGAAACTCCACCTTTGGCTATTGTTGGTATTGTTGGATATATCGAAACACCAAGAGGATTAAGAGCTTTAACAACAGTTTGGAGTACTAAAATTGCCAAGGACACTTTAAGAAGATTCTATAAGAATTGGATGAATTCAAAGAAGAAGGCTTTCAATAATTACAATAAGGCTAATGCTGAGACAAAAAATTTGGAAACCTAATTAAAGAGAATTGTTAAGTAAATAAATATATTAAATTATTTAGATATTGCTAAGTTGTTAGAGTAATTGCACATACTTAAATGAGCAAATTAAACTTGAGATAAAAAAAGAATCACGTTTTTGAAATTCAAGTTAATGGAGGTACCACAGAATAAAAAGTCACTTATGCCAAAGGATTGTTAGAAAAGGAAGTTAAAGTAGATTAAGTCTTCAAATAAAACGAATAAATTGATGTTATTGGTGTCACAAAAGGTAAGGGAGTTGCTGGTGTCATCAAAAGATTTGGTGTTAAGCATTTACAAAAGAAAACCCATAGAGGTTGGAGAAGAGTTGGTTGTATCGGAGGATGGCATCCAGCTAATGTCAGATATAGTGTTGCAAGAACAGGTCAATTGGGTTATCATCACAGAACTGAAATGAATAAGAAGATCTACAGAATTGGTGCTGCAGGAGATAAGAACACTGCATCAACTGAAGCCGATTTGACTTCAAAAGCAATCACTCCATTGGGTGGTTTCCCACATTATGGTGAAATCAGAAATGACTTCCTCATGCTCAAGGGAGGTATTGTTGGACCCAAGAAGAGAATAGTCTTATTAAGAAAATCTCTAGTTCCATAAACTAATAGAAAAGCTTTGGAAGAAATTACTCTCAAATTTGTTGATACTTCATCTAAAATTGGACATGGTAATATTTGTTGTCTATTTTTTTAGGACGTTTCTAAACTCAAGAAGAAAAAGCCAAATTCTATTTTACTAGAACCTAAAGAAAATTAAAACAATAGTAATAATAATAATAAAAATGATGTATAATTAACCTCATTAAAGGACAATATTAACAAGAAAATTTAATATATAATTAATTCCTTAATGCAATATTACTTATGTAATAAATCAGAACCTCAATTTTGAAAATAAGAATCTTGATTATGCCTTCTTATCAGCCAAACTTCCAGCTGGTAATGTTCTGTATTTCTCAGCCAAATATTTTCTTAAATTCTTTCTCAAGTCTTTTCTCTTTTCAACATTCTTCAATTCTGACTCTTTCACTCTTTCAATTCTATCTCTAACTTCTTTCAAAGTTGATTCTTCTAATCTATATCTATAATAATTATAAAACCATTATTAACCTTGTTGGCATAATGTGATTTAGATTTAATTGCTTTATGAAAACCTTTAAAGTTGTTCTCTTTCTAATTTATTTTTAGCCCATTCTCTTTGTAACTTTTCTGGGGTATCTTTAAATTCCAACAACCAAACCATTTGGGAATTTGCAATCCTAAAAAATTTCCTATTTAATATACTTTTGTTGTTTCCTCATTTGCCTTTATTAAAATAGCTTTTTTTCCTGCATATCTGCCTGCCAACATAACTACTAAACGTCCTGGTTTTAAGCTTAAAATAGATTTGCTTCTTACAATTTTCCCATTTCAAAACACTAAATAAATCTTTTAATTATTTAATATAAATTTTCCACTAGTTAATCATTTCATTATCTTACTTTCCTACAATATAAAGGACAAATGTATCTAAAGAAATGCAATTAAAATCCTTTTTAAACTAAATCAATTATACCATTACATAAAAAGAAATGAAAACCGTATGACAAAATATCCATGATATTTTAAAATTTATAACTACTTGTATAATATTGCTTATTTACATGATGTTTTTTCATTAAAATTTTAAGAATTGATTAAACAAATTCCAAAAATACTATTAGAATAATTATGCTATTTTTATTTTTGAAATAGTTTTTTGCAATATAATCAACCAACATTATCTCTTACTTTTTTACTCTATCTAGATTTTAGCAATTTATTACTATTACATATTTTATAAAATCGAAAATACTATTTTTTTTGTACTCCTTTTCCCCAAAATTTTTTTGTCTTGTTTTTTTCTTTAATCTTAAAGTATTCTCCTTTAGTTTTTCTTGTATAAACTCCTTCCGAATCAATTTTAGTAGATGTTCTAATAACATATATTTGATCAACTCTTTTAAAAGGAGCACTATCAATTTTTAATGATTGGCTGTAAAGAAAAAGCTCTTTTTCCTTGAATATATCTCAGAATTAAATTAAGACTTTCAAAAATCAATTTTACCTAATTTAGAAGGTTTTTTAGTCTAGGGCAATAATTATATTTTTTGTTTTTATTATATCATATCATAGATATCATTGAAATCATATTTTATTATCAATCTATTTTTAATTAATTTATATTTTCAAAGAATAATAAGAAAATTAGCGATAACTTCCTCTTCACTTCATAAAAAATAAAATCACCATTGATAATTATAATTTATCTAAATTTTTTTTAATATTCATTATAATAACATATTATTTTTATATAGATTGAGTAATATTGAAAATTTAGCGTAGATCATTATAAAATAATTAACAAGTTCTTTTTACTCATTCTTTGGTAGAAGCTAAGTTAATATTGGTTTATTTTGGCTTTTTCTGTGTTAAATGTTAAATTTTGAATATAGATGCACGAGGAATAGATATTTTTTGACTTGATTTATAATAAAACATATACTAGGATAATAAAAACTTTTACTTACGACAATTGAATTTATTCCTAACTTTTTCTTCTGTTATCGGTTAAAATAGGACAAGTATTTAAACCAGTAAGCAATTGAGTGTCACTACTTTTATTCGACATCACTTATAGATCTTCAAAATCTTCAAATTACTCTTCATCACCATTTGAAAGTGGGCTGATACTTTATTTTGAGTAATAAGAATGAACATCTTGAAGTTTTCTTGTTGGTGTAATTGGCAAAAGAATAGGTGTTAATTGGTATTTTTTTGTCTCTTAGATAGGTTTATCAGGGGATAATTCTTCACTAAATATAAGAAAGTATGTATTACATAGTTTCATCTTGGTGTGTAAATTACATATTTGAATATTATTAATCATTTTCTTTTTCTTGAATTTTTTAAAATACTTAAACATATCAAAAAAAATAAAAATATCCAGGTATAACCTTAAATAATCAATAATCATAATTAAAAATTAATATTGAGTAAATTTAAGGAGGAAACTCAAAAATATTCTTTAGACTCATTTATTTTTGAACTTTATACTTTGTTCCATTATTACAGGAAAAAATAATCTTATTTAATTAAGATTCTATGTTTTTTACTAAAACTAATTTAGAACACCTAAAAATTAAAGTAGTTTATCATTATTCAATAGAAACCTACTTATTTTTATCAGTAAATAAAAACCTTTTTTATTGAATGTTGTTTGTTATTATTTATTTTTCTAAACTTTGCTATTTTTATCATAAAATTATGATCTCGTGTGATAATTAAAAAAAAAATTCTTAAAATTCTTATTAATTATTATTTGATATAAAGAATTTCATAATTTGATAGTATAATTTTAGATTTAACATTTGATTAATAAATTAAGATATCAATATAAATTTTTTAATTTAATAATTTTTACTTTTAAACAATTAAATAATCTTCTGAGATACTGAGATAATTTTAAACATAATTTATGAGCATTAATATTTATTGATTCGCTTTATATAAATACAATAAATAAGTGTTAATTAATTTTGTTATTCTGAGGATAAAAATTTCCATTCATAAAATCAATTAATAATTTAGATTATTAAATTTATTGGGAAAGATTATAGTTTCCAAAAATATTGTTTTTTATTTAATTTATAAAAATTAATTTATTATAAATATATCAAGAGTTCATTAAAAGATATAATCCTAATTTTTAGATTTTAGGTGCTTTTTCTTTAACATATTAAATTTTATTCATATCCATTTAATAATTATTAATTTCAATTTTAGATGTTACATTTTTAGTTTATTTTCTTTTAAAATTGCGAGTAATAAGCCCTTTTGTGAATTACTTATCTTCTTACCTAATATCTTATATAGGATGATCGAGATTGCATTAATATACCTTTTTGTCAAATTCAGATTAAAATTATTTTAGAAATTTAAGAAATTGAGTTTCATTCATAAATTCACATCTTCTTTTTAATTGATTCTCAATTTCAACTGGATCAAAACTACAAATCAACTTATTTTATTTTTTTTAAGGAGACCCTACTTCTTCTTCTTTATCTCCATTTTGATTTTGTTAAGGTTAATTGTTGTAATTTTAATCTTGAAATTTCAAATGTACAATTTTTTATATTTCTTAATCTTTTTATTTTAATTTTAATTTATGTTCACTTAAATAATCCATTTCATAATAACAACTATTAACAATATTATATCTG